TTAAAAAGAACAGTCAGAGTCAGAATGTTTGCTTTTTAGCAGGGATGTAAATCTACATCCTTATAAAATAGAATAGAACTTTATTGAACTTATCTTTATGCCTGTTCCTTCAAATGATCTAATGGCTTTTTTCTCATTCTACAGTCATGTGCAGATCAGTAACGAGTCAGCTATCGACTTTTACCAGAAGTTTGGCTTTGAGATTATCGAGACAAAAAAGAATTACTACAAGAGGATAGAACCTGCAGATGCCCATGTGTTGCAGAAGAGTCTGCGCAGCCCATGTGCGCCACCCAGTGGAGAGCTTCAGAAAGTAGAGTAGGGGCACACAGCTTTTTTTTTGAGGGGGGGGGAAGAGAAGCACATGTGCCCATCCACACAGAAACAGAACTGTGACAGATGCCCAAGGTCAACACATTCATCAGTTTCTTCAAAAGGACGCTAGAAAGACAAAACAGTTTTCCAGTATAAAAAAAATGCTGCATTTATTTTGCAAAGTTTTTTTTTTCTTCTGCATATTTTATTGTTCCCTTTATTACATTTGGTTATATGAAAAATGGCAGAAAGCTCTGTACCCAACGAATTGGTTTGTCAAGGTGAAAAAGCTTACATTGAACAGACGGGGAGAGTGTGGTGAGGTGGTTGGTGTTCTGTTTTCAAACCTTACCATTTGTTTTAGAGTTGTTTGTTATGCGGTGACCAAACCTTATGGGGACATATCTATATTTTGGAGGAAAAGGAAGCAGTTTGAAGAGTTTGAAAGACCATGCCCCTGGCTGGTGAATTTGGAGTGTTAGCTGGAGCTGATCCATTGAACAGACAAGACTATTTTCTTTCTGGGAAGTTGGAGAGACCAGTTTGTCGATGCGTCCAAATGGGAGAAGCAGAAATGTTTTCCCACGGTACTGACACGACGGAGTCTGAAAAGTTTGGTTGTGGTCGAATTTGTTGGCACCACTCTTAATTTCCAGAGAACCTCTTTTTAATTTAACTCCCCTGAAATGTTATTTTTATTTTTCAGTCTTACACGGCAAACGGTTCAGAGGTTCCCCTGGGTTTACGATTAACAGAGAGAAATATCTTGTGTGTGGGGGAACTGAAGGAGAAGTTGCAGTATTGAAGTGGTTCAGGAATCTCACATGAATATTTAGGGGGTGTATTGATATAGATTGATTGGCTTAAATTGATTTAATTTGAGAATAATTTGCTTAAGGTGGGTAAGTATTCATTTCTTAATCACCTTTAGCTCCCTATGTAGCGACCTTTCAAATAACTTCATCAGGAAGCTTTTGTTATTGCACCCATATGAGGTTTTCATGCCGTTCTGACGGTTTAACCCAGAAGAAGCTCTGACCCCTCTGCATGCAATGAGAGTTGTTCTCTCTACTGTAGTATACGCATGTTTTTGCTTTCTTTGAAGAATTTTATCTTTTCTGGAGCTCTATATTGTAAGACTTTTTAACATCTAAATAAAGGAATTACTATTTGCAGTAAAGGTTGTCTGGGTTTGGTTGATTTCAGCTGCTGTGGAAATAAGTTTCAACTCACAATAATCTAAAGGTAAGACCAAAACCATATATACTGCTTACATTTTTACATGTTTAGCTGTCACACTAACACAAAACATGTAAACACATTGGATAAACCAACACAAAGTAATTCATATTAAAGTGGAAAGAAATATTATGGTTTTTAATATTTTTCCCAAAATTTTTAAAAAAATAGTGTGGGATTTAAATCAGTCCCTTTTTAACTCGATACCACTGAATAAAAGCCATTGCAGCTATGCTCCTGCTAGGTGGTTAAAAATCTATTTAAAAACAAGCTAGAAGGGAGTTCAGACAGACCCAAACCGTAAACATATATATACTATAGAGTTACTTGCATGCATTTCTATTAAATGCTTACAAGAGCCTGCATGAGCCCATTCTTGTGACGCTCTATTTAAAAGTTGCTGTTTGCATCACTCATACAAGCTTACTTCCAAAAGAAGATTTGCAATCATTCCACTGTCGGACTCGCCACCGGTAAGTGAAAATGGGGATGAGCAGATAGGACGGCCTTATGTAAACATCTCCAGAATGATTGACAATTAGGAGGACCACAATCTAAATAGATCATCCACCTGGAAAAAGAACATCCTCCACTATATCTTTAACAGTAAATATGACACTCATTTCCTGGGGATTTAAGGTGTGATAACTTTCATGAAGGCTCTGCTCTTCCATATATTAGAGATGTTATATATTATTGTCCAATAAGAGCACTTAGCTCCTAAAAACCATCTTTTTTTGTTGTCTTGAGTCCTTCAACGTAGAACAGGCCAGAGATTGGAGCGTCCTACACAAACTACATGGACTCAGCTGTTGACCATAAAGTTAAGAATTTTTTTTTTTCTAAAAAACTTACAGAAACTTTTTTACATTTTTTAAATAGATTATTTACAATGGATTTATTTTTGAAATTTAAAAGTTGATGTTGCAACTGTACTCTAGTTTTTATACAGTGTGAGCTTGCTTTCAAAAAATGCAAAACACCTAAAGACGCAAGACAAAATCCTTGAAGCTGGTTCTAAAAGGTATTGATTTGAGAGAGTCAACTGCAAATATATGATAGGCTTTTAGATTTTCAATTGTTTTAATAATTCAAATGTCATATTTGTCTTTTTATTTGACTTGACCCTTCAGCTTTCAGTTCAGTTTATTTATATAGAGCGAATTCACAACACATCATCTTAAAGCTACAGTGTGTAATAATTACAGGGATATACAGTCAGAAATGTAATATATTATACATAACTATGTTATTTTATCATCATCTACGAGCTCAGCCTCTTAACCTTAATATTTGCGTTGCCTTAGAATTCGTTATTTATAATTGCATAGGAGCGGGTCTCGCAGCCATGGAGGCAGACATCTTTGCATGTTGCTGCAGTCTGACCGCTAGATGTCGCTAAAAGTTACACACTGTAGCTTTAAGGCACTTTACAGTTCAACAGATCATACAGTCAAACTGATTCAAAGTTTTCTATCTAAGGAAACCAGTTGAATGCATCGACCCTTGTGTTTTTTACTTGCCTACTATTACAAAACCCCAAAAAATTACCTTAAGGTTTATCAATTGAAAAGAAAAATGCAATAAATAACTTTGCAAAGCACTGTTTACTTTTGTCACACAACACTTTTGTCTTTTATGAATTCTGAAATAAGAGTCCTTCAACTTTCTACATCTTTTATAGAATTTGACTTAAATGTCATACATTTTTTCTTGAAAAGTAAAATCTTAAGTTCAATTCTTTATGATACTATTATAATACTCATTTTAGGTTTTTAATATCCATCCTCTTCTGATTATTTGGGGTCGGGTCACGGGGGGAAGCATCTTCATTGGGAGGCCCAGACATCCCTCTCCGCAGCCACTGTTTTGAACTGACATAATAAACACTGATTATACACATCTTTGGAGGGTGTAACTAAACTTTCTAAAGTTATACAGTGTAAAAAAAAAATATCAGCTTAAAATATTCTTCTATCAGGACTTTTTTTATACTTATATCACTGTTAAAAGTATATTAAAAAAAAAACATTTAACCAAAACTAAAGAAAATAAATTATTTATCTTTGACCACTGAGCAGAGGCGTAGCCAGAAAATGTTTATAAGGGTGGCCAGACAATAACCAATGTATACTGAGGGGTGACCGAAAGCGGATCAGCACCAGAACCTCAGGTTCAATCTACACTATTGCAACAGGAACAAGCACAACATCCACATTTCTAAATAGAGACAAACTATAGTTTCCTACAGCCTTTGCTAACAAATAGATGCATATATTCAAACATCCATCTAGATCAAAGGTATATTGGATAAAATTCTTTGAAGTTTGATTTCTGGAGCATCTTTTCCATCGTCATTACCTACCTACTTTTATCAATATCATTCTACATTAAATTGACATTTACAAGTAGTAATATCTTTATAAATTGATAATTTAATAGGTTTTTTAGAATAGTTATTTACAGTATCTATTATTTTACTGAAGACTCTTAGATGACTTGCAGAGACATAATTTTCTCTTTACGGCATATAACACAAAATCTAGTTCTGAAAGAGCATGAATTCTGTACTAATCCTCTCTAATAATGGTATATTAATGTAGCCTGGGTGCCAGTCCGAACTTAGTCCCGCCCACAAGGTTTGAGTTCGGGGAAGTTTGGTCTGGCTCTGCTCCATAGTAGCGCGAGTATTAAAGCCCACTGTCAGGCGATCCAATCAAATTGTCAGGGCGGGCTTTATACGATGATGGACAGATGATCAAGAGTAACGTAATCAACCACGTGACCAAAGCGCGCTTGGGTGACAACAATAATGGCTGCCGCTGGAGAGTTTGGGTGAGTAGATTCTGCTATTAGGTCTGTTCTAGAAGATATCGACAGCAAATTAATTTTAAAAGAGGAACAGAGAAACGCGATCAAGTCTCATCTTCTTATTCTAGGCGTGAAACTACACGCTTTGATTTTTGTGGACAACAACTATGCCTCGCTTAACATACGTCACGCACTCCGTTGCTCTTATTGGTTGTAGGTCTATCCAATTGAGTACAGAGGCATTTTTTCCTGGTTCGTTCAAAACACGCCCCATAATCACAGCTCTATGGAGCAGTATCAGACTCATATTCTGACTAGAATTGAGTCGGACTACGTCAGGCTAATATTAATGTGCATAATTAACCAAAGTGTTTTTTGTTGTCAAGTAATTGTTAATATATATAGAATTAAAATGTTTTGAATACTCTACTTGAGAGAAAAAATGGTGGGGGTTGCCACAGGGGTGAACAAGGCCACCCCTGGCCCCCCATGTAGCTTCGCTCCTGCCATGGAGGTAGGAATAGTACAAACCTAGTGAAGCCGCATTCTGCACAGACTGCTGTGAAGAGGCGTTCCGTTTTCCCATTGGTGGATTCCCCTTACACTCATGATTCTATTGGCTGGTCTGCCGGAGGCATCGCCTCCTCTGCACGGATTTAGGTGTATCTAGATTGTTTTGAGAGAAGAGCTGAATGCTCTGCTTGCTTAACTCCAAATGTCTAAGTTTTTATTGGAACACATATTTGAAAAAATGCCAAAGTTAGAGGTTGGTGGAATATATGTATTTTTTAACGAGTCAGGCGAATTATTCCGTATTTAATGTGCTTAATAATTATGTAGGTAACGGTAAGCTAAGATAGCTGTTGGCTAACTAGCTAGCTTAAATGCTCTGGTTGTTAGCTTTCTGCCATTTAAGTGAAATAATAGACATTTAAACGTCACTTATTGTCGAACGATAACGCTAAAGGAGAAGATTTGTTTGTAAAGTTTGTCAAATTAGCTGTTTTATGCTGATGTTAAAAGGTTAACGAACAAGGTTGATGGTAAAGCTAGGTTACTCTACATTAGCATGTTAGCATTCAGTTCTAGAGGAATCTCAAGGGTGACAGCTGTTTTAATACATAGCTGCTGATGTTTATGTTGGTCTGTTTTGTTTTATCTACAGGACAGACACAGGCAGGACTTAAGGTCCAGTTGTTGAATGCGTTATCTGTTGCCCTTAACCATTCAGGCAACTGTTAAAACAGGATGCCAGAGATGACTGAAACTAACACAACTGGTCGAAAACCCAAGTAAGTATGTCTTATTTACTTATATATGAGATTTATTTTTCCTTTTAGTAAAAATATTGCACTGTGTTGTATATTATGATCCTAATATAATGTAGCATTCCTTATAGATCCTTTCATTGAAACGTATCACATATCAGAGGTTTATTTCAAGACCTGATGTTATAAACAGTATCTGTCTGTATCTACATACAGAGGGGATGATTGAGAATTAAGAATTTAGAGCATGATGGTATTAATGATGAGGCCTGAGAGTAGGAAGATGCATTGGTTGGTAACATGCATAAGTGATTTTCAATATTTTATTTTTATTATTTTAAAAAAAACATTTTAAAGTGGCACAGAAGAGCAGGATTGAGTCTGCAGTGCCACCATACAGGAAAGACTAGAGGTGTTTTGATGGAGTGATTTGAGCTTACTGGCGATATGTTGTGATAATGAAAGTTTAGTTTATTATTTCAGGGTATTTAAAGAATTTAAAAGATATAGAGGCATATTGTTGATGTAGATGTGATCATCTGGGGTGATGTTTTTGCGATAATCAAATACAAGCTATTTTTGTTTTAATGACGTTCAATAAGAAGAGATCCCAATTCAGCCACTTTATTTTACCCAAATCAAAAATGTAAACAGGTAAATATTCTTGGAAAGGCTTCAGTGGACAGCAGCTTGTGATTTTTCTTTGGTTTATTTCAAACATTCATATAGTAAAAAAAAAAAGTCTACCATTATTATAAATCAAAAGGTTGCTGGGAGAGTTTTTTTTCTCTAATGGAGGACATTATAAATTGTGTTATTTCGGTCCCACAGGGCTCTAACCCTTTGAACCCTGCTCTATTTTGTATTATTGTGACTTTGTATCCATTATAAAACCACTGGCATGGACTTTCAGAAGACTTAAAGGGGAAAATACCACAATTAACAGTAACAAAATATTTACAGAAAAAACAAAAAATGAAACTATAAGCACCATATAAAAGCAGTTATTTTACAGAAAAATGCAATTATTCCCCTTTGTTGCTAAAATTGAGTAATATGACATTATTCAGATATCACAATACAAAAACATCTATTTAAAGTAATGATTTTATACAGTCTTAACTTAATATATAAAATAAAGACCTGCTACATTTTGTTGTAGATGTAGATAGAAAATCTGAATTTATCTGCTCTGTATAGAGTAGCAAAAGAAGTAAAAGCTGATATTAGCTGTCAGTCCTGCCATCTGCTTAAGTAAGCCTCCAATCAGATGCTAAACAAGCAACCCTCTAACTGTTTTGCTTGGTGTAGTGTGAACCTGAATAAGTGGAATAGGCCCTGTCGTTCCCACACTATGACTGTTTCTGTGTGTGGCATCTGGACATGTTCCAAACAGCCAAATATGTCTACATTGTGACTATTGAAAAGTGTATCAATCCTCTTTCAGTCACCTGACTAGCAGTGTGCAGCAACAGACGGTTTAGGGTGGCATTGTTGCTGTACGTTCCATGGAGGCAAAGAAAACGCACCTTTTTTGCGTCATTGAGAAGATTTAAGCTATAGAAGTGGTTCGATGGAAGATTTCAGATGTTTTACAGCCATAATCAAGGCAGTTTAGGTGTTGCCATCATCTTAGAAAATGTATCTCCACAGGGACAATACACATTGTCTCAAGTCAAGCACCTCACAAGCAATGTTATAGAGAACTGCATTTAAGAATTGTAAGATGAGAAGATTTGACTATGGCGCTCAGAAAACTGGGTGAAATAATATCTTTTGAATTTCTTTATTTCTGTTCAAGCTGTCTATTGTTTTTTAATTGGATGTTGATTTTACATATCGTATTGGCCCGAATTTAAGACAAGGTATTTTTTGTTTAAAATTATGTTAAATTTGGGGTCCTCTTATAATCTAGGTCTAACCAATTATACAGGTTTACAGTTGTCTGGAGTTGCTACAAAAAAGCAACAGCAGAGGGCGCCAGTTTTTTGTTTTTTTTTGTAAAGCCAGTGCTCATTGTGGCTTGGGTCAGCTTTCTATCACAACAGAGAAGTGACAAGGATGCTATGGAGATTTGCTGCACAGAACAGACTGGATCAAAAGTCAGACAAGTTTGCAGACATTTGAGGCATAGTTATGATGCCAATTTTAACATAATGGCGGTCAGCGCAGCAGTGCCATCAAACAACTGTCAGGCGGCAAAGAAATAAGAAATTATAGAGTACAATGCCAGAAGATGGCGGGTTCAGAAAGACCATCCAAAAAAAGCAAACAGCTAAAGAAAAGCTTATCGTCGTCCACAACATGGCTGTTTCAAAGAATCGACAGAAGGTGTGTGAATTTGTTAATGTAAAACGTAACAATGGCATGCCGATTACCAGAGCCATCACCCAGCTGAAAGCTCTGGACATTACTAAGGAGTTGAACATACCCACCACCACGTTTAAAGCCAGCATCTGCTGGTGCGGCTGGATGATGCGCCGTAGCAGCCTTGTATTACGGCACAGAACCAGCCTGGCTCAGCACCTGCCATCAGAGAGCAGCTGCTCTCTATTTAGTGGTATGTGATTTGGCTGGAAGAAAAAACACTCATATCCTCTTGATCGAATTGGCAACGTTGAACAAACCCCTGTGTTTTTTGACCTGCCTATACCTGTGACTGTGCACAAAAAAAGGCGAGCCTGTTATTGTGAAATCAACTGGAAACAAAAAGAATCGGGTCATAGTGATGCTAATATACCTGGCAGAGGGGACAAAGTTGCCTCCTTATGTGATTTTAAAACGCAAAACTGTGCTGAAAGAGGGTATGCCAGCTGGCATTGTTGTTCATGCCCAGGAAAAGGGCTGGATGGGGAGTGAACTAGTGGTCGACTGGCTTAAAGTGGTGTGGGGGGGGATGGCAAGGGGCTCTAAAAAACATGAAAAACATCCTAAACATGGATGCCTTTAACAGTAACTGACAAATGCAAACTCAGGGGAAGAAGATGAATGGCAATTTAGTCATCATACCAGGAGGACAAGTAAGCTACAGGTAGTTGGATGTGGTGATTAACAAGCCTTTCAGGGATAATCTGCGCAAGAGCTACACCTAGTTCTTTTATCAGGTGACCATGCACTTGCATCGGACAGTCCAAAAGCCTGCAGTATGCCGACTTTGTGAATGGATCCTCCATACATGGGATTAAGTTCCATCAGAAAGCATCATCAGTTGATTCCAAAAATGTATCTCAAATGCATTGGATGGTAGTGAGGATGATGTTCTGTGGGAGGAGAAAGGACTGCAGGGTGAGGGTGGGAGTGACAGCGAGGCAGACACTCCATGAACAAAGTTCAGATTGCATTCGAGAGGAGGTGTTGCAAGATTTAAATTAAATGTGTCATCACTGTAATTTTTTTAAAACGTTTTATTGGTGGTTACTTCCAAAAATATTTCAATGCATTGTTATTTTGATTAATTTCTTAAATGTAAAATAAAATTGTTTATTTAAACAAAATAAATTTGGCTTATCGGAATCTTTTTTTGTGTTTTTTGTTTTGTTGCTTAAAAACTGGTCTTGGAAAGAAGGGGTCTCCTTATAATCAGGGTTGTCCTATATTCGGATCAGTACTGTATTTTTTGCCAAAAATATCAGGTACCGCTCCATAGGTCTAGAATGCAAACATGCTACACAGAAAAAGTTTCTGCATCACAGTTTTAAAAACACTAAAACGGAGACACTACTTTATTGTAAAGATATTATGGAACAGGTGGACAGAACCAGATGTTCATGTCAGTAAAGCACTATTTAACAGCAGTAAAGCACAAGTATCACCCAGTCATTAAGTGGTTATACCTGCTATCCTTAATTTAAAAATTAATTTTAAATTCTCTACCTTTTGCAGAAAGAAGAAAAACAAAGAATCCCATAATGCAGGTAACATAATATTTGCTGCTGCACTCTTGTTTAAAGGCAATTTAGTTACAGTTTGAGTAATTGTTTATTGTTTAATCATAACTTTTATATCCTTTGTTTCTCTCTGCATCTAGTCGAGAGACACAGAAAAGAGAAAATTAACGCTGGGATTAATCGCATCGGGAATCTTCTACCATGTTCGCAGGCACTTAAACAGGTAAGTAAATAGCTGCTATTTACCGAATCACAATAATCCATGTGACCGTATATGTTCAAATTTTTAAAAATATTCTGTTTATAGAGTAAGAACATGATATTGGACCAAGCATTTCACTACATCACTGAGCTCCAGAAACAAAATGATACGTTGCTTCTGGAAGGTGGAGATAAAGTCCAAGGTGAGGTTTTAATTCTCCCTTTTCTCTTTGTACTGTAAAATGACCATTTATCTGTTGCTCTGGGAGGGAATATACAAGTAACGGGCAAATAGAAAGCACTCTGATAAAAATATAACTGACCTTGAAGTTATCAAAGAGGAATATTAGTCATATTTCAAACACATCAGCCGTCTGTCTAAAAGCAGCTGGTTTACATATAAGAAGCATCGTGTCCATCGGCACATCATCGCACTAAGATAAGTATTTACAGTGGATTGCAAAAGTGTTCATACTCTTCGAACATTTGTTTCGTAATGTTTCAAGCACAAACCTGTGGGTAATTTATTGGGATATATGGGTTAGACACCACAAACAAGAGTAAACGTAAAACAGAAACAAGTATTACATTGTTTTTATCACAGTAATTACATTTTTTTTATTTAAATCATCTGAGTGAATAGTTTGTAGAACAATCTTTTACTGAATTGATTATCTTTGTTATGTCTGTACCAGCTTTCCACACAGACTGTCCAAGACTTTCTATTTATTTGATAAATAACAGACATTGGCAGTAAAAAGAACTAAAAACAGGCAATTTTCAAGCCTTACCATAGATTCTCAGTAGGGTGTGGGTTTAGACTAGGATTTGGCATTTGTAGCTCACAGGGTTTATACAGGAATGAGTAACTTTAATTTAATGCTAGAAATTATTTTAATGCCATCAATATATGACATGAAAAATTTTATATATATATATATATATATTAGTGCTGTCAAAATTATCGCGTTATTATCGCGTTAACGCGAGGCCATTTTAACGGCGATAATTTTTTAAACGTGAGATTAACGCTATGTGGTTTTATGGTACAATTTTCCAAGTACATCCCGCTGCAGCCTGCAGGAAGGCGGGGCTATTTTCCCCCAGTCTATGCATTTCTCATAGGCTTCGAGAGCGGACCTCCTCAAGGGAAAAAGACGCTCATACACTGGGTAGCGCTAGTGCCTTTTCTTTAAGCCCCACCACCAACAAACAAGTTGAGTGTCTGGTAACTAGTAGCAACCTGAAATACGCTGAGAAAACAGATTACTGAGGTGAAATGGAATCTGCTACGGCGCTCTTGCTGTCTGTGTACGCTACAGGTCGGTATCGTGTGTGTGTGTGGGTGTGTGTGTGTTCTCATTTTTGTTAAGAGGCTGAAAAGTAACTTTCTAGAGCATAGACTATTTTGATGTATTGATTGAAAATTGTTCATTATTATCTTGGTTAATTAACATCTAATGTTAACTGTACTACATTTTATAGCAGTAGGGTAAAATGCTTGTCTTTGTTCAAAAGACTGTATTAACTGTAAAGACTGTCTTTTACATCAGCCTGTTTTCAGGGCCTTTTTTTTTTTGGCTACATATTTGTTATTTTTTGCTACATGCCTCCCCATCTTCTTGCCATATGTTTCTATGGCATAAATCAGTGTCTGTGACCTGTTTTCATTTTAAAAAAAGAACATTGGCACAAACCTAGCCTGTATGTATTTTTTGTATGTCATCGAGAGTATTTAAATGATTTTCAATCAGAAAAAAAATTTGCGATTAAAATGCGATTAATCGCGAGTTAACTCAGGCATTGATGCAATTAATCGCGATTAAAAAAATTTAATCGATTGACAGCACTAATATATATATATATATATATATATATATATATATAAAACTGCAAAATCCTTCGTCATCTTTACTGTCGACTGGCTGCAGCAATGTCCATTTTGTTGAAATTAGCATTTTCCCCATTCTCTTCTTTTCCGAACATATGGCTTTACGATCAACCAGAAGCATTTCCGCACAAATATATTGCGATGTAATATATCTGACTAAATTGTTTTTATAAACTTTTTTTTTTTAATGAAGCATTTTAAATGCCACAATAATCACATTTAATGAATTTTAATGCCAATTAAGGCCTTAATTAAAAAAATTATAATTTCATTACTTTTAAATATTTTTAATGACAAAAACCTGAAACTCTGAGCACAGGACATGCATCCTGTGTTCTACACATTCCCGTTATAGATATGATCGTATGTTTGGGGGTTTTCTGCTGAAAGACGAACCTGCAACCCAGCCTGAAGTGTTTTTCATACTTCCAGCATCTTGCTGTATTTAACTCCATACATCTTTTCTATGCTGTCTCATGTTTCAGCATAGAAATGGTTCGCTCAGGTCGTTGTTCTACAGTATTTTTTACTAGAGGTTCACAGTAGTCTGTTCATTTACCTACATCATATTTTTATCAAAGAATAGAGTATATGTTTTTGCCGCAGTTTCCTTTATCTAATTTCAAACTAAAATGTCAACAAAAAATAAAAATAAATGCGAAAAATGTGGACGATTATGTCCCTTATGGAATACATTTTTGTCATTGCAGCGGAAGAGATCCGACGGCTGCGGCGCCAGTTGAACGATTTGAGAATGGAGAGCGCTCACTACATCGAGCTCCTGAAGGCTCATGATATCAACTTTTTAGAGGACCCAACTGCTCACTGGAAGGGAAAGCACCGCTGTGCCAAAGTGGCTAAAGTTACACCTACCCATCAGCCCCCAAAAAGCATTGTTGTTTATTCCAATGGCAATGTGATTGGCCCTACAGGGAAACAGGCGAGCCCCGGAAAGAAGCCCTCTGAGATAAATCATCCTTCCTCTGACACCGGATTACAAGTTAACGGAGCTTTGCTGCAAGTTAATACTACATCTACCACGCCTTCACTTCTCCCAGGCTCAGCCGCTCAGTCTACATCAGCTCTGAGGGTGTTGGAGCAGTGTGTGATTGAAGCACCTGCTGTGGCCCCTTCTGTGTCTTACATCACCCTACAGATCCCTGCAGCCACCACATCCCTGCTCCAACAAGCGCAGCCTGATCCTCCACCTCAGACTGTTCCCTTGGTAGCTTCAGTCTCACAGCATCCCACTGAAAGCAATGTTCTGTCTGTGTCCACTCGCACTACATCGACCCAAACTATAACCTCAGAACCATCTGGTAGTTGCTCTTTGGTGACAAAGGAGAGCACCATCAGGACTGTTGGTTACACTGCCGTTCCTGCCAGTCAAACTGTTCTAAGAGCTGGAGCTGCAGGCAGCACACAGACCACCTGGACAACACTGCAGATGGCAGGGAACACGGTGCAACCAGTTTGCCAGAGTCTCTCCGCTCCAGAGGTCAGCAGTACCACCCAGACGGTCCAGCAGTTTGCAGTTTGCCCTTTGGGCAGCAAACCCTCCGTTAATCCTGTTCAAATACAGCTGCAACCACATGTGCCGGTACCACAGGCACCTATTGCAACCCATTTCCCAGCTAATCCGTTCAAAAATGCTCCTCAGCTACAACCCGCCGTTTTAAACCGGCCACAGCCTGTCTTGAACCCCCAACCTCAGTGTGCAGTTTTACCCCAGTCGGCCATAGTGCCGCAGCCAGCTGTGTTGGCTCATCCAGCTGTCATGTCACAGGCCCAGCCTACGGTTCTGCAGCCTGCATCACTGGTTCCTCGTCCTCCAACAGCTCTCATCCCACAGCCTCAGCAAACCCTGGTACCCCAGCACCAAGCTGCTGTTCTGCCCCTCCTTCAGACCATGCAGGTGCTGCAGGTCAACCCGGCCACTGCTGCAGCCTCGGGTGTAACAGCTCCTCAGAGCACAAACAATCCAAGTGTTGTCATCCTGCAGCAGGCCAGCGCCTGCCCCGCCCCGCAGGTTATGAGAGAGGACATTTCGAATCCCACACCTTGTCAACATATAGTAATCATCCAAGCCCCCAGTCAGGCTGCGCCTGCTCCTCACAGCTCTCAGCTGAGTATTGGATCTTCTCCTCTCCCTGCTGTCACTTCTCAAACACCAACCACAACCAGTTCAGTGACTGTCCCTCCTTTACAAAGTGTGGGAGGAAAGCAGTTGGTACACATCCTGCCTCGTCCCACCCAGCCTGAGGTAACCCATCCCCTGCAGGTCAGCCAGGGATCCTCCTCTACAGCAGTTTCCACAGCCCCACAAACAATTAATTTAAATGGCCAGGTGTTTGCTCTAAAGCCAGTGAAAACCTCAGACAAAAGTGGCTCCCAGATTGGTCAAAGCACCATGCAACTGGTCCAACCCACCACCTCTGAGGAGCCTACTACTAATGTGGCCCTCAACAGCTTAGGGGCCCTTAGTAGTCTGAACCAGAGCATATCTCAAGGCCTCCCTCTCTCTACCCAGAGCAGCTGTCAGCTTCCCCCCACATCATCCGTTGGTGTTATAGCACCTGTATCTGGAGCCACACCTGTACTACCTGCTCAGCAGCTACAGGCTCAGTCTGGTTTAGCCGCTGGTCCCTCAAAGCCTTTGGGAAAAAAGCCCCACACACCTGTAACCACAAAAAGAGCAGCAACTAAAAGGACTAAACCTGTCAAAAAGAAAGAGCCCAAAACTACACAGCTTGTTTTTCCTGCCAAATCCACTGCTAATGCTGCTAGTGCTGGAGGAGAGAGCCAGACAGTTCAAAATACGGCATCTCAAATTTTACAGTCTTCAACAACCATTCAGCCAACATGCACCACATCCGCTCGGTCCCAACATGCTCCAAGCTGCGTTACATCTAGTCAGAACACACTGCAAACTATTGTGTGCACTTCATCCAGCAGCACCTCTGTGTTTAGTCCGATGAAGGATAAAAGCTCTGTCTGTGGATCCCGGAGTGAATCAGCTACACCTGAGGTCGTCAGTGAAGCTGCCATTAAGCCATCTAGTGGTTCAAATGAGACTAAAGGGACTTCAGTTCCTGTCAGTAGCGGCCCTGCAACCAAACCTTTGGTGTCCGAGGTTAAACAGTTAACTGTTAGTACCACTGCTATCACAGTGCAAAGCGGGGCGTCGGCCATCGTTTCTGTTTCTAAACAAAATAAATCCATAGTCACCTCTACGGCTGCCACAGACACTCGGGTAACATCTGCTGCTGATTCTGGTCCACCCTTGCCTCCGGTCTGCATCCAGACCACTGCATCAGCATCTCCAAATAAAAATACCAACTCAGTCCAACCTGCTGTTCCCCACAAATCTAAGTTCCAGGATCAAACATCTTCCACTAAGCCAGAGTCTCATCCCAGTATTTCTCCATCCCCCACATCTGTACTTCCATCACCCACTCCCACTGAGTCAGTTCCAGAGAGCTCTGTCACAGTCTCTACACCCACTGTCGAAATCAAGAAAAAGGCGACTACATCTAAAGCTCCTCCACAGCAGACTGAAGTGAGCATGCCTCAGCCTTCCTTGTCTCATCCTGTAGAAGCCAAGCCACCTCAGACAGCGAGGCTTGACCGGCCTGCAGGGGAGGAGAGGCCTTCCCCAGCGGCAAGAAATGAGGGCTTAGTGCGGGTAACGTCTGAAGCTCCCTTAAAAAAGGACTCTACAGTGTCTCAACAGGTTTACACCAACCTGGATGAGCAAGCAGTGGAGCAGAACATGACATCCAACCGCCAGGCTGATTCTCCAATGACCACAGGCGGAGCTGGTGGCAGAGGATTCTCTGTAGCATCAATGCTTCCTCAAGGCCAAAGCATGGGTGCATCATCAGGCTCCTTCGGATCATTTGCGTTCACATCTGAGCAGGCAGAGATGCTCGCCTTGGCGATGTTGGAGCAAGAGAGCCCCGAGAGAAAAAGCGGAGGTTGCTCGGGGGACAACAGCTCTTCAGCTACATGGGACTCCCCCAAAACTCCACCAGTATCCGCCAGCAGAGAAAGAGCCTCAACAGGGCAGCAAGCTAAAATCTCCAAACTGATGGACCCCAGTGCAGGTAAACTCGTAGAGGCGTCCGTCAGTGGGCCAAACAGACAGCAGCAAAATACAGCTTACTCAAAATCCCAAGCTCTCCCACCAGGACAGTCTCAGAGTACAACCCAAAGTGGGACGGCTCCTAGCCTCAGCGTTAACAACCTGATCAGACCCAGCAGCTCCAGCCACCAAGCCTATCCCAGCTCCCCGAGTCTGACCGCCCAGCAAGGGTCGGTTCCTTCTCCAGCTGGGACTTCTACTCATATTTCTCAACCGCCAAACAACGCCATCTCCCCCTGTTCAGGCTCTGCCCAAGTAGAGTACAACACCTTGAAACCGACTTCAATAAGAAATCCATCTGGAAATGTCGTAGGTGAGAGACATGTTAAGATCATCTCCAAAAGACAGGCTCAAGAGGAAGTGATGTTGCACACAGGGAAACGCCCTAAACCGTGCCCCCCGACGGGCAACGCGGGGGGTCATATGGATGTGAAAGCACCAGACCACAGTCAGATGATGGTGGGACAGCTGCCCCCCACCTCTGCAGCTGTAATGACCAGGATTAATCCAGAAAGTGGAGGCCCTCTCTTCTCCACCAACTCCTTCATGAGCTTGGTAGTGCGCCCCACAGATGGTCACTGCTCCACTCAAGGGCCTCCTGAGCAGAACCAGGCAGGTGGGATTCATCTGTCACAGGGTCACCCACAGCACGCTGTTAGCCAGCCCAGTCAGCATCTGGGAGGAAATCTGTACATGAAACAGCAGCAGCAGCAGCAACAAGAGCAGCAGAGGCACCATCTGTATCACCTGCAGCACCACCTTACTCAATCTGACCCTGCACAACGCCACTCGATACACCAGAGGGCACTGCAGGAGCAACAGCAGCATGTTCAGAAGAAGCGAGGTATCGTCAGAGGGAATCAAACCGGATCCCCCGCTGGCCTGCAGCAGAAGCAGCATCACCTGGAAAAGACAGGTCTTCATCAGCATCCCCATCAGCAGCAGTCACAGCACCCACAGCAGTCACACCAACAGTCCCAGCAGCAGCACCAACAGCAAACACAGCACCATCAACAACAGCAGGCCCACCAGCAGCCTCCACCTACCCAGCATCAGCTTCAGCAGCAGCAGCAGAACTCCCATCCCAGACATCCTCAGCATTTACAGCAGCAGATCCAACAGCAGCACTTTAGGCATCAGGAGAAGACATGTGAGGCCCAATCAGTGGGCTCCAGGGGCCACCACAACAGCCACTTGGCCCAGCAGGACCACCTCAAGGTGAGTGGCGTTTCATTATGCAGGGTGTCCATGTAGTTTATGATGGCTTGTATGACCCTAAATGAGAAATTTTCTTAAAGTTAATGCTCTTAATTATTAACTTATCATTTCTGATTTATTAACGGAGCTTGAATCCCCCCACAGAGCGTAAAGTTACAGTTATCTCAGTTATTTTTTAAATAAAATGTTGTGTTTTTTTTTCTTTCTTTGGTCTCATTTAGGAAGGTAATTGATTGAAATAAATTTTCCCCAGTCTTGTTTTTCCTGTCCTTAAAGGGGTCTGCTTTACAGAGTTCCTTACAAGTCCAAAAAATATAAAGTATGATTGTTTTTCAGGTCTTGAGTATAAAACTTTTTTTTTTTTCCATACTACAACTTCCTTTACTTTTCCTTTTTGGTTCCTTCATCCTTCCTTTGTCAGGTCCTGTTCTTGAACGTGTCCTTATTTCATATTTCTTCCTTTCTTCTTGCCTACTTTCTTCCATCCTAGCCTTGCTTCTCCTCTTTACTTACCGATTTACTCGTATTATTCCTTTGTGTTGTCCCTGGTGTCATTTATTTTTTTCCCATTTATTCTTTGTGTCCTTAGATCCTATCGTTTTTAAAGACACACTGTTGAAGGGAATTTGCAATAAATTCAAATATATTGTTTCTATTTTAATATTAATGGTAAGACTTACAATGAGGAAATGTCATCAGAGCTGTACAAACTAAATTTCGCTTTATATACACTCTTTGTATACAAAGTGACAATAAATGTTATCTAAGTCTAGAACAAGGCAATCAAACAAAACAATCCAGAAATCACAATATTATTATTTTTTTATTTATTTATTTGTATGATACGTATTTGAATACCTGCCACTCAGTAAAAAAATCCGGCCTTAAAACACCTATTAGTTCACTCCACTCTATGCAAGATCTCACCTTGTGGTGTATCACAAGTAATGAGTAATCAGCCCAGAACTGTCAATCACCTGAAGAGAGCCATCACCGCTGTTTCCATTAAAATTAAGATGTCATAGTTTAAAATCCTGTAGGGTTGTCACGATACTAAACTTTTTAACTCGAAACCGATTCTAAGGAAAATATTCAATACTCGATACCATTTTCGATACCACAAGAATAAAAACTCCACATTTCAACAGAAATATTTATATTACTAATTAAATTACAATAAATAAATACAATAAACAACAAGAACAACATTTTGAGGTTGTTTGCTGTGCACAGTATTAAGCAAGCTTGATAAAAAACCTCCAAATTTAAATTAAGTTTTCCTTACTTGGCTATGCTTTGCACACATAGCAATGACACTAGCCAAACCGGTTAAGAAACAAAAATAATCCTCAGCAGCTGCACCTGTTACAAAAAAAGTCTGAAACTAAAAAGAGCACAGAATTATTCAATCACACAGTGCTCTGAAAGTGCATTTTCCTCTATTCTGCACTTTAGATGAATGACTGCTTAGGTGCCACTGGTGGTAGCACTGTATCGATACTTTTGAAAATGAGTATTGTATCCGGATACAATGTTTCAGAATCGATACTTTTTTGAGTATCGATACTTTTGACAACCCTAAAATCCTGCATTTTACAGAAGGTTTCCCTGCTTAATCGGCACACATCCAGGCCATCTAAATGGCCATTTGGATGAATCAGAGAAGTCATGAGAGAAACAACTTTTTGGTAAATCCATTAATCTTGCTTGGAGGTAGAAGAATGATGAGTACCATCTGAAGAACACCTTCCCTACTGTGAAGCATGGGGGTGGTAGCATCATACTTTTAGGGTGTTTTCTGTACATGGGACAGGGCGACTGCACTATATTAAGTAGAGGATGACCAGGGCCATGTATTAAGAGATTTTGGGAAACAACCTCCTTTCATTAATTTGAGTATTGAAGATGGGTTGAGACTGGGTCTTCCAACATGACAATGACCCAAAGCACACAGCCAGGATAACCAAGGAGTGGCTCTGGAAGAAGCATATCAAGGTTCTGGCGTGGCCTAGACAGTCTCCAGACCTAAACCCAATAGAGAATCTTTGGAGGGAGCTCGTACTCCATTTTTCTAAGAGACAACCCAGAAACTCCACTGAACTAGAGAGGATCTATGTGGAGGAGTGGGCCAAAATCCCTCCTGCAGTATCTGCACACCTGGTGAAAAAATACAGGAAACGTTTGACCTCTGGAAATGCAAATAAAAGCTATTGTTCCAAAAAATAACTTCAATTTTCTCAGGTGTTGAAATTCTTATTTACAGCTGTAAATAGTTTTAAAAAATATATACATATAAATTGTGATTTCTGGATTTATTTATTTCATTTTGTCGCTGACAGTGTACCTGCACCTAAGATTTTAATGCAAGACCCCCCCCCCCTGATTTGTAAGTGGGAGAACTTGCAAAATAGCTGGCTGTTCAAATACTTGTTTCCTCACTCCAGTCTGAAGGAACAGGGAACTTTTACTATCAAATAATTGAAGAAAAGTTTCAATTGAATGAAATACATTTTTTTGAAGTTGATCCCAAATCCCGTGCTTAGGTGATTGTTAATGAGAAATGGTCAATGGCATATTAGAACTTATCGTTCTTTTCTTCACACAGCCTGGTCAGGACCATAATGCAATGCAGAGGATGATGAGCTCCAGAAGCTTGGAGCAGCAGCTCATCTCTCCTACCGCCAACGCAGTGTCTCGTTCATCCGAGATGGCATGTGCACCGTCTCGCCAGGAGCGGCACCGTGTATCAAACTACTCTGCAGAGGCTCTCATCGGAAAAAGCTCCACTAGTAGCGAACAACAGCAACGCATGGCTCTCCTCCTTCAGCCTGGACGTGGCGCCACCCAGGAGCAAACAGACCTCCGTAACTACCTGGATACATCACGAGGGAAGGCCGGTATTACACACAATGCTCAGAACCGCCTCTCAACGGACCATTCTTCTTCAGGGGATCAGCGAATCTCTGAGTGTCAGTCGTTCAAGGCCATGGGGGGAGGAGGTGGAGCCCACCAGCTCAGCGGTTTTGAGGCTCAGGTGTCTCGTGGGAGTGACATGGCCCCCAAGTCGGTGCCTCCCTCTCAGCGTGGTCCGCAGGGGCAGCAGCAGGGAGGATTTAGGATGAGTGTTGGCCCCAGTGCGGACGTAAGAAATCGTGGAAACTACAGCGGCCCCCATCCTGGCTCTCAGGGGGTACAGGTTGGCCCTGTGCTGCCTCGAGAGCAGGACGGCTGCCACCAGAGTTTCATGCAGAGCCTCCTTTCCCCCCACCTTCCTGAGCAGAGCAACCATCAGCGAGCGGTTCAGTGCTGCCCCCCTGTCAGCATGGAGTACAGCTGTGTGACTGGAAGCTCCACAGGAGACATCCAGGCCAAGGCCTCCAGTCCCAGCGTGCCTCAGTCTCAGAAGGTTCCAGCTATGCGACTTGCAGAGGCCAACAAGGGCCACATTTCTCAGGTCACTAGTAATATGCATGCAGGGCCAGGTGTTCGAGCAGGTCTCCCCCACCCTCCAACCCCACATAGCAGCTCAGAACCTGGACGCTCATCCGCCATCTCCAGACCCCCCACTGCTGTCAGCCAGCATTCCCGACACATTCCCAGAGATGCTCATCCTGCCAAACTGAGACCCAGCGACAGGCCTCGATCCGGAGCCCTGCGACCCGCCAACCCTTTTGAAGCTGAGGGCCACTTACCTTTGCCTTCAGGGGGAGGGGTGCTGCTGGGCCGACCTCAGTCTGGAGGAGAGAACCGCCGCAGCACCATTGTGCGCTTCATGTCAGACAGCGGACAGGTACCCAGTGAGAATAACATTGTCGCTGACCAACACCTTGCACAGAACTTTGGGTTTCCCTTTATTCCAGAGGGAGGTATGAATCCTCCTCCCCCCATCAATGCTAACTCCACATTCATCCCTCCGGTGAGCCAACAAAGCACCTCCCGCACACCGTCCCTCCTCCCAGTGGAGCCTCAGAACACCTTACCCTCATTTTACCCTTCTTACTCCCCAGCAGCTCACCCAAGCCTCTCCAGTGATGTCACCCTCCAGTACTTTCCCAACCAAATGTTTACAAGCCCGAGCGCGGACAAAGCCAGCGCCCCCCCTCTCAACAACAGATTCGGCTCCATCCTCTCCCCGCCACGTCCTGTGGGGTTCGCTCAGGCCAGCTTCCCTCTGCTTCCAGATATGCCTCCCATAGCATCATCTGGAATCACCCCCCACATCTCTGACTTCAGGCTCACCTCGCTGTTCCCTGAAATCGCTACCGGCATGCCAACAGACGGCTCAGCCATGCCCATGTCCCCCCTGCTGTCTCTCACCAACACGTCGTCCGCTGACTCTAGCAAGCAACCCAACCGCCCTGCCCACAACATCAGTCACATCCTGGGTCATGATGGCAGCTCGGCCGTGTGAATGGTTGCAGCCGGAATGACGGTTGTTTAGAAACAAACCATTACGTTTTCTGCTTGAAATGTGTATCAAAGGTAAAGCACTTGATGTGAGGGGATACGTTTACATGTCCACTTTATTTCAGTTTAACATCTTCTTTGTGACATATTTAATATCAAATTAATCATTAAAAAAGTTCCTAAGGCTTTCTAATTTGTGTGGAAATGTATGCCCTTCAATCTCCTTTTTGAAATGTAAACTGGTTCTGAAGAAAATTTTGTTTTTTGATTGTTTTTTGTTGTGTTTTTGGTCAAAAGGAAACCTTCTGCACAGTTACTAATTTAATTTACTAACTTATCAGGTTTTACTGTACAAATGTTTTCCAAGAGCTATTTTGTAAATACTATTTCATATCAAAGTTGCTACATTATGTATTTGTAAGTACAAAATTGATAAATAAAGTTTATAATGATTACTTTGTAGTTATTTCCCTGGGCCTTGTCTTTGGTTTTCAACACCCAGTATACGTCATTAAAGAGATGCTTTACTCTGATAAACATTAATAGAAAATCCAGTACAGCCTGCAGGTAGTTATTTTGTATGTCGATATACTTCAACCTTTAATGCCCTTTTTTTTCTATTCTGTAAAAGAAAAAATAAATTAAGTCACATTCATATGTTAGTGTTCACATAGCAGTGAGTTTGCATATTATGAGCAAAATATTAGCTTATTACCAAACCTTGGTTCATTTTTTCTTTTCTAATTTATTTACTGTAGCTTTTTGTTGTATATACGTGTATATATATATAATATATATATTTTATGTTCAGAGTTAATGTTAAAATTAAGATTTTAGCTTATGACAATGGCTTCGGTTTTAGACAGCACATTTTTGCCTTGTTTGATCGACTTGCGTTCGTTTTGATCAGGCACATGAGGATGACAGCATTTTCCTTTCTGTTAACGTAGCGAATTATATTAGCCAGCCAAACACCCCAGCTCTTAAAAGAAACATGATCATCCAAACATGTTTCTTTCAGCATTTTTCTGATACTTCTCTAAGAATGTAAAGACCCAAACTAGCTATAACCTTCCCTGTTTCTGGCCATTAATCATATACCCTACCCTACTTAAAAAAAAATAGCTAATGCCTTAATGCTTGTAAAAAAAAAAAAACACCCATAATAATTTCATAAACTTTTTATTTACATGCAATAGTGCTCCAGCATGTGCAGAAAACAGCCTGCACTCTTAAGGGAGTGTAGATTCAGGATATCCTTCATTTTGATCACTTAATACTTTCTCCTCTGACCTGTGAGGAAAGGAATAATACTAACACAACTGTCACCAGTTCCTCACCCTAGCAGTCATTTGGTAACCAGCAAAAGAGTAAACAGAAGTGGCTGCAAAGTAAAGTTCAGCTTACTGATGACTGAGTTTTTGTTTTTTTCCAGAATCTCTCCCATTCAGTGATAAAAAAATAACGTACTCCAGCAAATAAATAACTGTACACAATATATAATCTCATGTAGACTACTGAGAACAATGATTTATGTTGCATACACTTGTTAATAGATTGTTAATGAAGAGAAAAGAATATTGAGTTACAGCTATACACAATGGCAGCTTTCAGTTGTTGAGAATGTGATGACAGCACTTCATAAAAAACAGCATTAGATGGGAGAAATGGACCCTTTGTTTCTGTTCTGCATAAAGCTAGGCACATGTGGTCTCAACATTTAGGAAAGGATAGATGACTACGAGGTGAGAAATAGAGGTCTGAAATGGAAGTGCTGAGTAAACAGGAATTCACAACTTTGGAAAAAATACAGATTCCTGTTGTCAAGGACATAGTGTGAGCAAATATATGAATAAATCGTATATTTATATGAAAATACCCATATATACAATGTAATAAAACAATCATATGTACAAAAGCATAAATATATAAATATCTCCAATACAAAAATAAATATATTCTCTTGTTTTCCTCTGTTCACTACGAGTCAGCATCCGTTGTGCCTGCCGTCCCCATGTTGTCAAAGGACACTTCATTCGGAAGAATGTTTATTTCCTGTATCGTGTCTTGGGATTGTTGCGTCGTGTCTCTAGAGTACGGGGGAATAAAATCTTCTTCGTCCTCAAGTGACAGGAGATGGAGTGGTTCTTCTTCTGAAGGAATGAAAGAGAAAAGATCCAATATTATTTCAAGATTTCTACCTTGGCTGAAAGAATACCTTTATATTGCTCGCAAAAACTTATTTTGGAAAACATGTATTTATTTCCCACTTCTGAAGAAAACAATGTCCTAACCACTGTCGAATATGGTGGATGATCTATCTGGATTACATAAAAAAAAATCTGCTCGTATTAAAAAATTCAGGTGGCGCAGTGGGGTCCACTGCTGCCTTGCAGCAAGAAGATTCTTGGTTTGATTCCTTGCTTGGGGTCTTTCTGCATGGAGTTTGCATGTTCTCCCTGAGCATGCATGGGTTCTCTCCGGGTACTCCGGCTTCCACCCACAGTCCAAAAACATGAATTTTAGGTAAATTATATTCTCTAGATTCTCCTTAGGTGTGAGTGTGCGCATGAATGGTTGTTTGTACTGTTTATCTCTGTGTTGCCCTGCGATGGACTGGCGACCTGTCCAGGGTGTACCCTGCCTCTCGCCCATAGACAGCTGGATGGATATTAAAAAATCCAACACTTTTTTTTTCCAACAATAGTTTGGCTAATCTCCCATATTATGATTTTTGCCAATTTTTGAAAAGACTCTTCACTTAAAAAACAATGCACATGCACAACCCTGTACCCACTCCCGAGAGGGAACGCCTATTAAACTTGTGCGACAGCATGCACGTACCCATTTCTTCTTGTGGCGCTTTGTTTAAAAGTTGCGTTTTGCATTGCTCGTACAAGCTTACTTTTCAAAAGATTGTTTGCGATTTTTCCACTATGTCGGACTCAGCACCGGTGAGTAAAAATGGGGATGAGCATTTTGGACGACCTTACGTAAACATATCACCAGAATGATTGACAATTAGGAGGACCACTGATTTAGATGATCCACCCGGAAAAAGAACATCCTTCAATATAACTTTTAACAGTATTCCCACTTACTTTCACTAATGTTGGGCCTTCCATCACCAAACCCATCCTTGCCTCCTGCATCCTGTGAGGTGAAATTTTGAGAGGAAGACACCAGGTGCTGATGAGTGGACTCATCTGGTGAACAGCAGTTCTGTTCTTGATGATCCGTCTCCCTGAGAAAAATGAATACATATGTCCACAGTTAGAGCAGAAAGTTGTCTATGTTTAGCCTGATTAAAAAAGTCAAAAAGTTAAACATAGAAAAGGGGAAAATTTAGCATAATTAAATAGAACTATGTGTTGGTCACATTTTCTTTTTACTGAGACATACCTGCTTGAGTACTGGTAATAAGGGAGGTGTCCGTTTGTCTGTGGCAAAAGTGTGTCGCACTCTAGGTCACAATCCCCTTCATCCTGCCCGGCAAAAATGCATAAAGTTATTCATTCAAAATACAAACAAAAGGTAAAATAATGTGGATACTTTTTTTTTTATCTTAATCTCCTTCAAACAAAGTTTTGTGAGTGCTACAGAGCTAAAGAAATCAAAGGATGTACGGTTAAAAGTAGATTTTTCTTTTCATCTTTGTTGGAGTTGCCCAGGTTCAGAAAGCTTTGGTACATGCCGTTTTTCAATTTCACTAGAATCAAGCAAATTTGAACCGGTCTGCAGGCCAAAAATATTTTTTAGCTTTAAGGACTGATGTTGCTGTAATATACATCCTCTAATATTTGCTTACGGATTTTGGACAACATTGGAAAAAAATCAAAATTTAGATACCGTAGGTAATTTTTTCTTAAAAAAAAGTGCATTTGTTCTTGTATGGAGGAGGTAAAAGAGACATTTTGCCAATGGAACAAGACAATTTACATTTCAAATAAGAAAACACAATTACATTGTCTTATTTCAAGTGCATGCTATCTAATTATATTATTTTAAGAGTAAAAATACTCATTCCATTGGCAAACTATCTTATTTACCTACTCAAATTAACACTTAATTTAAGAATTTTTTTACTTATTTCTAGATCGTTTTTCCAGTAAGTGCACCCACACTTCAAAAACAATCTAGATATATGTAAAAATGTCATAAATTAAGTGCATTTAGCCTTATTTTGAGTAGGAAAATAAGATGATCTGCCAATGGAATGGGTTTTTTATTCTTAGAATAGGATAATTAGATAATGTGCGCTTAAAATAAGACCATGCAATTGTTTTTACTTATTTTTAACATAAATAGTCTTGTTCCATAGGCAAAATCTCTCAATTACCTCCTAAATGCAAGAAAAAATGCATTTATTTTAAGCAAAAATGACCTATTGAGATTTCAGTTTTTTCTGTTCAGGAAGAGTTTTCACCTGCTGCAGTCCTGGTAGGCAGTGCTGAGCTTTTCCATTCTGGATGTATTCCCCGTTAGCTGGGTAAACACTGCGTTGAGGTGTCATGTGTGAATCCAGAGGGCAGTGTCCGACCAGGGCGAGTCCCTGCAGGGGAACCATGGTGTACTGACACGTCGATACTGGAGCAGCCACAGGAGGGAAGCACAAGTCTGATGCTTGCTCTGCAGTTAGCATAAAAAAAAAAAAAAACGAGTTAAGATGTGCAAAGGTAAGAAATTCTGATGAAAAGCTTGAGGAACTCAGAGAAACACCCACTCTGCTTGGCCCAAGCTCTCCAGAGACAGAAGGGGATGAAGGCAACGATGATGCAGACAAAGGGTCCGACGATACCAACGATGAGGTATGGGAGATCGCCAGGCCGTGGCACCAATACCCCAGCTGTTTCAGATCCTGAGTCTGGAGTCTCAGGTTCTAGAACAGGTCGCTGGTTATTAGGACGAGCTGAGAAAAAAAAAACAAAAAAAACATTAAAGTCTCATAAGATATTTATGATAAAACATCATGTGCTGTATAATCTAGCATGTACAAACCTTTTGTTTCAAGGATCACTACATTTCCAAACTCGCTCTCGCCTTTCTCATTAAAGCTCTGCATCTTGATGTCATAGGCTGTTTCTGGCTGCAGGTCGGTGATGGAATGCCAGTAGCGGTCTCCCTCCACCACATCCTTTTTGTAGTCACTGTCGTTGTCACTGTCTGTCGGCCGGTAGTAGATGTAGAAACCGTAGATGGGTGTGTTGTTCACCGGAGTGTACTAGTGAGGAGGGAACAGTCACTATTAAACCCTGTACCCCGGTACAATATTTAAAATTCCAAACAGATTTGCAGTTTTCAGTTCTTTACACCATCTTTTAAATTAGAGTGAAAGAAAATCCCAATGCATTTTCTGCATTTCTGCATTTTCTTCTGTTCAGGATTTAGATATAGAAAACAGGAAACGGCCAAAGGGAAGGATGGAAGAGAGCAAAAGCAAGGACAGTGGAAA